GGCCCCTGTGCTTTGGGGTTTTGGAGGTGTAATGTAGCCACTCTGGGGTCACTGATATGGGAAACTCTACCACATTACCAAGGTGATACTGACCAGGAAAGGACTGAAGCAGCAGTCCAACTGTGCCCTGGCCACCTTACTGAAGGCATCTGCTTCACATGTGATGTTAATAAACGTAGACATCCACTCCCCTCCCTCGTTTTTTTTTTTTTTTTTTTTTTTTTTTGAGAGGTGCAGTCCAGGCTTACTTTAAACTCATGTGTAGCCAAGACGGCCTTGAACTCCTGACTCTCCAGCCTCTACCTCCAATAAATGTTGGGATTACAGGTGTATGCCACCACACCTGCCTTGTAAGAAGCTTTCTAATGTGTATAATAGCAGAGCTAAAGTTAGCACTGAAATAGTGTTCCACTTACATGCACGAACTCAGTGCAGGGGTAGGAGGGTATGGGGAGGGGTGTGAAGGGTAGGGTGGGGCAATGGGTTGTCCCTTCTTGCTTCTAATAATGATTCTGCCCCTAATCAACTTGGCCACACCCCTGGACTCTTGGGAACCCCGCCCCAATAGATCCCATACCTATTGCTGGACCAGAGAGTGCCATCTCTCCTGGAAGCTTCCTTCCACAACTGAAACAATGCCCACAGTGCTCACATGCCCACCAGATACATGTGATTCTGACTGATTCACTTGTAGAGAGAAGAGGCCACAGCTCTCTTCCACAGTGATCCTGTACACCAGCCTGATCCCTGCTTTCCACAGGGTTCATCTAAAACAGCTTCAAAAATTACACATATTGTGCCAGGTGTGGAGGTGCACGCCTTTAATCCCAGCACTCAGGACACAGAGACAGGCAGATCTCTGTGTTTGAGATCAGCCTGGTCTACATACTGAAATACAGGACTATATAGTGAGACTCTGTCTCCAAAAAGTAAACAAAAATAATTTTAAAATACATATATTAAAATGGGAAAATTTAAAAATAAAAATCGAGATCAGAGAAAAGAGCAGGGGAAAGTTAGGATACTGATAGTCACGGCAATTCCTATAGCAAGGTATGAATCTGGCTCTCAGCTTCCTGGCAGCGAAAACGAGAGGATAAAGATCTGTTAGGAATCAGTTCTCTGAGGGAATTTCCTCACTGAGGCATTTCCACACTCAGTGTGTCCCAACAGTGAGGGCCGGAATGAGGGAATGAGAAAGCACTACTCTCCCCGTCCAGCTCGTTTCCACGGTTGTTTCTTCCAAACCCATGCTGTTCCACTTGCTGTGCCAGGTTGCACTTGACTGGGCTACAGCCTGCATTCCTGCAGCATCTCTAATTGCACGTGTTCACACCTGAGGTGGGGATGCTTCACAGAGAGTCCATCTGGAGACTCAGTTTCCCTAAAGTAGGCATTTCCTGAGATAGGGCTAGACAGGGCATCATGGGTGCAGTTATTACCCTCTTCCAACAAGGTACCACTCAGATTGGGCTTTTCAAAACGCCCTTCTCTTCACCCTTTCCTTACCACCAGTGTGCTACACTGGCTTCTAGTGGAGAGAGACTTGCCTTTCTCAATGTCGCAGAGCTGAGGTCCCACCTGACACCGCTCCCTCCCCACAGCCGGTGTCCACTCTCTGTCCTGAGTCCCCCTCTCTTCCACTCCCTTCAGTTTAAGCACTTCCTGCTCACTGTTTGTCATCTAAACAGCAGAGTCAGAATGGCATATTTGAACCCCACTCCACACACACCATGTGCTTTCCCCCTCCGATCTATTTCTCACCAAGGCTTGGCATTGCCTTTCTGAAAATTCAAGTGGTCTGGGGGTGGTTTTGTGGTAGTGTTTGCTTAGCATGCATGAGGCTCCAGGCTAAATTCTCCAGTACTGCAAATGAAAACAAAACCCCCAAACCTGAAGTGGCAAACCTGAAGTGGCATGTGTGGCCACACTCAGATACTTCTTGGCTGTGGTCTTATGGCTTACCTGCATGGTGCTATCTGCCTGTCGGGCAGCAGGTTGAGGCCCTGGCCTACTTCCTCTTGCATAACCCTGATGTCTGAAGAACGCTTTATTACCCCTACTGTACAGATGGGGCCAGCACTCAAGACTCTTACCCCAGGTCCCTAGGGGGTGAAGGCAGAGGTGGTCTTGGGACCAGGAAGTCTGTGCACCTGACTGTCATACGGGCCTGACTCCTGTGTTTAAAGGGTATGGGCCCTGAGTGCCTATCCCTGGCTTGACCTGTTCAATTACCCTTTCCCTGGGGTAAGACTGGCTCGCTCCAGTGCACCACTCAGATGGGACATTCATGGAGGTGAGGTGACAGTTCTCCCGGTGTTCTGGGGATTTCCAGTCAGCACACATTGGCTTCCCATTGCCCCAGTGTAGGGCTGGGGTGACCTTATGTTGTCCAGCTTGGCATAGCACACCTTCCTCCTGTCCCTTCTTTAGTTTCTGGAAGCAGATATGTTCCTGACAGTTCACAGTCTGGGTTGTTACCCTCCCCTCTGCTCACAGGGAAGCCACACACCTATCAAATCCATCTGGACCTACAACTTGGCAAGGCCTTGGCTCTTGTGCTGGCTCTGGCCTTTCAGACCCCTGGAATTAGACAGTCCAGACCAGTTGGTTCTAAGTCTGCCTCAGTTTCCCCAGTGATGCCCCGTGGTGCAGCAGAATCCTGGATAGATAGTGTGGGTTGACACCTGTTCACTCTGGGAAAGCATGTGGTAGGTTCTCAGTTACTGGAGCCATGGAGATAAGGGACAGCCTTCCAGAGGCTTCCTCATGGAGGTTACAGTGATGTCAAAGCATAGACCAAAGTAGTACTTGCAGATGGAGACTCTGAGACCTGTGGAAGCTGAGAGCCAAGCTTCCTGACACACCCTGGAGTCCCGGTGCCAGAAGCCCTTGTGGGATCTAGACTGGGTAGATCAAACTTTTGATGGAGGATTATCCTGAGGTGGAAACACCTTTCCTGCTGAGGATAGATGCTCTGCTGGGGGACTTGGTGACAGTAGACCCCGAGAGGGCAGCTGAGTGTCCATTCACCACCCTGCTGTGCATGTGGGGCAGAGCTCTGTTCCCACTTGGTTTTCTTGTATGCACCCACCTCCCTGACAGGCTGTGGTATGAGCACCCTGGTAGAATGGCACACATTGTTTCAAGGCCTTGGTGAACAACGAAAGTTGGGAAGCTGGAAGCATCATCTGTCTTGGTGTGATGGGGGCTGTTGTGGGGTGATACTTGCTTCACAGTTGTCTCCAGCTCTGAGCTTCCTCTTCTGGGTTTCAGTAACCCTGATGCTGAGGAACCCCACTTTTATGGGTGCTGCTGGTTTCATTCTGGAACCTGATCAGAGATGGCCCTAGAGGGACAGGTCAAGGCTGTCCTACTGGACACAGCTCACCTACTAGGCCACTTTTCCTAGGGAGACATACCAGGAAAGTCCCTTCTTTCATGATCTACAGGCTTCTAGGGAACCCTAAAACCTTCCTAGATTTTTGGGTAGTTTTTAAGAATAAGAAGTTAAAGGGCAAGCTGGGTGTGGTGTTGAACACCTGTCAATCCCAGCAGCTAAGAGGGCTTTGGCCAACCTGAGCCAGAGTGAGGCCTGTTTTAAAAAAAAAAAATTAAGGGAGGTATTTGGATTGCCAGCCTACTATATGTGGGCTAAGTACCATCCCTATCTAGGATTACAAGAGAAGAAGGGAGGGAGGGATAGGGAGAAAAGAATTTTTTTTTTTTTTTGAGGCAGGGTTTCTCTGTGGCTTTGGAGCCTGTCTGAAACTAGCTCTTGTAGACCAGGCTGGTCTCAGATTCACATAGACCCGCCTGCCTCTGCCTCACAAGTGTTGGGACTAAGGGTATGTGTCACCACTGTCCAGCCTCTTTTTTTTTTAAATGTATATAATTTATTTAACTTTGAATGCAGAGGTGTGAAGCTGTCAGATCTCCTGGAGCTGGAATGACAGACAGTTGTGAGTTATCATGGGCGGGCTGGGAATTGAACCCAGGTCCTCTGGAAGAGCTGCTAGTGCTCTTAACCACTGAGCTCTCTCCAGCCCCAAGGCAGCTAGGTGAGCAAGGCCATAGCAAGAGTGGAGCTCCAGGTCAGGCTCCCTGGAGGAGTGTTCATGCCCTGAGGACTTGCTCTCTGTTGTATCTTCAGGTGTGAAGGAACCTGGCCCAGAGGTCTGTGCTATTTATTCAAAAGATGTAAATTACTGAAAGGTGCTACCTTGAGCAGCACACTGCAGGGTTGGTGAGACAGTTTAGTAGGTAAAGTTGCCTGCTGCCAAGCCTGATGACCTGAGTTTGAATCCCAGGACCCACATGATGGGAGCAGAGTCAACTCCTGCAAGGTCCTCCGACCTCCATTTGCATGTTGTAGCACTCACGTGCACACAAATACACAGAACAAATAAAGGAATTTTGTTGTGTAACTCTGGCTGCCCTGGAACTCACTATGTAGACCAGGCTGGCCTAGAACTCTCAGAAATCCTCCTGCCTCCCAAGTGCTGGGAACAAAGGTATGCGCTACCACACCTGGCAATAAATGTGTTTTTTTTTTTTTTGTTTGTTTTTTGTTTTTTTAATAGATGGCATTGTAAACTGGATGACTTTTTCCTTTTGCAGACAACTAAACTGAAGTTTTTTTTTCCCATGACCCTCCACCGTGCTCAGCTCAGGCTGTTCCCAGTCTTTCTTGTCTCAGCAGGCACCCATACTCTCCAAGTTGGCTCTCACGTCCCAGGTGCTTTACTATTTAATGGCTGTCATGGCCCCATCACAAAACACCAGAGAGAGAACAGAGAGGAAGAAAGAGAGAGGGTTGAGGGGGGAGGGAGAGGCAGAAAGATAGAAAAACTGAAAAAAGAAGAAAGATCAACTGAATGGTCATACCTTCAAAGTCATCACCAAAGAATCCCACAGTGAACTTGCAAAATGAAACAGGAAATGTGATCAACTCACCTCTTCTCATGGAGCCTGGGAAATAGGACACGGGGAGGCCATGGTTTCTTTAATAATGAAATAATTTATTTGTTAATGGACGGACACATTAAGTTTACACACAGCAAGGAGTCTCTAAATCATGATGGTTTCTAAAAAGACAAGTGCTAACTGCAGCCCCCCACCCCCCAAAGAGCACCATTCTACCCAGTCTCAACACAGGTTTACATTGGCACCATATTTACATAAAGAAACATCTGGAAACCTTTCCCATTCTTCACCTGCAGCTCTCCTGTGGAGGCTGTTCACCTTCAGAAAGATGGTTCCCCGAGCTAGGCACTCAGTAACATAGCAGGAGCACCAATTCCAGGGCCAGTGGTGGAGGCAAGCGTTTAGATCAAAGCTAAAGTGAAGACTGCCCACTTGGCCACTGTCCTCCCAGATAGAGTAAGAACTCAAAGTAAGAAATCCAGATAGATCTCAGGACAAAGTGCCTTCCTAATTCTCTTTGTGTGATTTTGAGATACCATACACACTCAATTTCCTTGGCCATCCATGATCCAAATGTAATGGTGCCAATTATTTCTTCTTTTAGAAGACCACAGTAAAAGAAAATTATGAGAAGTATTGATGAATCACATTTCATACCACCTCAACCCAGGATCTTTGAAAACACACATGCTGCATACTCCAGCACTCTGGGCACACAGAATGAGAGAAGCCAGCACCCAGCAGGGTTGTTTTCTCCCAAAAAGCACTATAGCAGCTACTGAAATACCAGAGACACAAAGAAAACACAGGAAACACACAGGCATGGTAAAGTAGGAAGACAGAACGATGTAGCCACCCCAGTAAAGAAACAGAAAACTCAATTTCGGTGATAAATCACAGAGCACAATAAAAGTGGTATCCCTGCCAATGCAGCATGGTATAAAACCTTAATGTGTCTATATACGTTCTTCAAAAAATAAGTTCTCTCTTGAAGGGACAGGGAAGAAGGCAAGAGGGGAAAAGTCCACAAAACTCATCGTCAAGTCCCCAAGATATTGCTAGAAAGTTTTGAGTATCATATGACATCTCCGGTGTTCTTAGACCCCCAAATGCCCTTGGCCACATCAAAGATGGGGAGAAAGGCCATAGGAAACACAGGGAAGCCTCAGCTTCTGTTGAACACATCAGGGGGTAGATGAAAAGCTACTGCTTTAAAACCAAACAATAAAACTACTCCAACAGCCACTACAGGGTTGGGCCTGCCCAACTCACTGTCCCTGTTGGAGTTATTCCAGCCTTGGGTCAAGGAGGAGAATCTAGGTCCTGTTGAGACCCTGATGGCCTTGCTAAGGCAGCAGCAGGTCTCCAAGGATAGAGGTGGCTGGCCTTCAATTCAGATACCTGGTCAGCAAAAGAAAACCCAAACCAAAACATGCTGGATGCTGGGTATGCATCCAAAGCCAGTCCTGTGCTTTCCAGGCCAGTGAAAATGCTTCCTTGTGGCATGAAACTAAGTAGGTGGTGATGAGCCTGTCTTCCCATGTGCATCATGACAGTGTCAGTGAGTGCAGCTTAGATTTTAGTTTCAAAAGGAACTTACACATAAAAATATGCAAGTGCCTTCATTGACACACTATACATTCTGTTCATGTACAATGTCAAAGTCTTAATGGCTGGGATTCATACCCCCCCCCAACCAACCTTAATAGAAAGGTTTTTCATTTTGCTTAAGAAAACAAAAGCTACCCTCAAGACTTGCTCTTGGTTGACATGCTGGTGATTAGTGAAGGAGAGATTGGGGTGGGAATTAGTTGCTCTGGGCTGAGCTTACAGGTCCCCCCCAAAATACAATTTTGTTTAGAGAAAAGCTTGCCAACCATACTGGCTCAGTCTGTCTCAAACTTCCAAAGCCAGGTCTACCCTTGGCAGTTAGCCTGTCACAAGTGCTTTAAAAATATAGAGATCTGCCACACATATATGCAAGGACCAGACGAACAGGGCAAAAGTCAAATAATTACTGCTTTATGTTGGGTCAATACACTTCATATTTCAACCAAAAGACAAAAAATAAAAAAGTTAAAAAAAAAAGAGAGAAAGAAAGAAAAGAAAAAAGAAAAAAAAAAGCAGTTTAACTCAAAGGTGAAACAATTAAAACACAAAAAATAAGGGCATCTCTCAGATACCTTCTAAGCGAAAGAAACATGTGCACAAGTTTTGTTCCCTATCCACCCTATGCAGACTGCAAGCTTCTCCTGTGGTCTTGACTTTCTGAAGGCTTGGATTCGGTGAGCAGACACGATGCCCTCAGGGTCTGTCTGGAGGGGACAAAAGGGGACCTCAAGGCACAGCTGTATATCTTCTTGATAAAGGGCAGACCTAGCCAGCTCCTTGAACCTCTGCTCAGACTGGGGAAGGGGCTTTACAAATGCAAATGGATCCAAGCTGTGTTTTTGGACTAATTTTTGGGGCGGGTTGCAAAACAGGGCTTCAGGATCATTAAGGAGCCCATGACTTTCACAGACCACAGAATGGCCTTGTGTGGTCAGGACTGCTCTCCCTGCCAGGATCTGTTTGCATCTGAGTGGAGGTTTACGACTGTAGCCACCTGCTGCCAAGTCAGCCACGGAGCCTTTAGCCTTTAGGTGGCACCTGTGGATCTCAGGAATGTTCCGTTATTCCATGACACAGGCTCGGCTCCTAGCAGGGCAGATTTAACAAATGGTTCAGGTTCAATGAAAAAGATTCATCAGAGGCTGAAAACACCAAGACCTCAAAATACAAATGCAAAAATAGTCAGGGGAATGAACTAATTTTGTAGACAGCTACATACAAAGTTTCTAGAACATCTATAAAAGCAGTCATAAGAATTTATATTCCATTACATTAGTTTATATAAAATGAATAAATAGTATTTATAGGTTTTGTGTGTCTTATGTACATATACATGTGCTCTGGTTTAGCTTAAATAAAAATGCCACAAGGGGGGAAAAATCATCTTTTAAAGCCATCAACCCAGAAGTCTCCGGAAGGAAGCTTCCAGATGAGTCCAAAAATAACTCAGCAGGAGGGTTTTGGTGACACAGGGAACCCTCCTGTTTACTTGCCATAGAGAAGAAATGTGGCCTCTTTCTCTCAGAGACAGTGGCTACTAGCTCAGCCAGTGCCAAAACTCAGTTATTGCTGGGAGTCCAACAGGAAAACAGGTTAGAATGAGACCGTGGGGACAAAGAAGCATTATCACTTTTGTTATGTGGGCAATGGAGCTCTCATCTATCTCTGAGGTAGGACAATGTTCCAGAGACAAGTAGCATCAACAAACTTGGGGCGTGGGGGCTGCCTTGAGACATAGCACACAGCCAGGCCCCAAGAACAGCATGCAGGGGGCATGCTATTCTCCTGAGCTGCCAAGTCCCCACTCTTAAGAGGGGACACTGTGGCACTGGGGCTGAGCCATAGCAGGGCTTCCTGGAGGTATTCCTGGCTTCTCAGTGCTCTTCAGTTTTGCTTTCAAAGCTTCCTTTGGGGTTTCTGAAATTGAGTTCCCTTTGAGAAGTTTGTTTGCTTCAGTTTCCTATGTGCCACACAAAGCTTGAACTTCTCTCCTGGGCGAGTACCATCGTGAGCTGGAAAACTAAGACCTGGCCAGCTGCAGGAGGACAGTGCACGAGGGGCTGCTGAGAGGTGACACTTGCTTAGGGATAAGGATTCTTGGGTGCTTCAAATTGACTGGAATGTACGGTCTCTCAGCGTCAACATGGATGGACAGAGAAGCGATTGACCGCACTCAGAGCCATACCCTATGTGCTTTCTGCAGAATGGACAGAGCTGATTTTGGTCAAGGTGGTTCGTGAGGTTTGCGTGCAAGGGCATCTGGGCAGGTCTGGTATACTACCTAACCAGGTGTGGTGGAGAGGACGCTTGGGCTCTCTCCTATAGCCCAAGACCTGCCTTGTGCCCATCCTGGAGCTTGGCTCTCTTAACGCTGGCACTGGAGTAGCCCTCGTCACTGCCCAGGCTCTGCATGCTGCCTCGCTCATCCGAGTCACTCACGCTGCTGCTCCAGCCCAGGTCCCCTGTGAGGTAGTCTGTGCTCTCAACGTCCACATCCACATCCACGTCCAGCTCTTCTGCAGAGGATGAGACACATGGGTGAGATCTGCTGTAGAGCCCTCGGTACACCTCAGAGTTTCTAATATTCCTTCTTGGGCACTGCTAACTCACTCTTGCAGAGGGTGCTGCCCAGCTCCTGAAGGCCCGAGCCCTGTCTTCTTTATAGTTTTGATTACATTTTTATTTAGTGTGTGCGTGTGTGTGTGTGTGTGTGTGTGTGTGTGTGTGTGTGTGTGTGTGCACAAGCAGAGGTTAGAGAACAATTTTCAAGAGTTGGTTCTCTCCTTCTACCATTAGTCCCAGGGATCAAACTCAGGCTTAGTGACAGGTACCTTTACCCACTGTCAGCCTTGACAGCCCCTATGAGCCCTGTCTTATCTGCTCTGGGGTTGGCTCTGTTGTCTGAAGCCCCTCTAGCAGGTGTGGCTCACCTCTGTCTGAGTCAGAGCGCTCTGAGGACACTACAGAGCCCACGCTGTCCATCCGAGGCCTCTCAGCACCCAGCTTCTCCAGCCGCCGCTTCAGGTGCCGCTGTTCCCGCTGAAGCTGGTCTATTTGGTGGACAGCTTTTCTGTCACAGTCTTCAAGTTTCTGTAAATCAAAGAGTGGTTGTTGAAGTTCATGGGGTGTGTTGTACACCAGCAAAGAACCTATACCTCCCCTACAAGCAGGGAAATGTGCTGTATATCCCTAGAACACAGGTGGTACATCCCTTGTCAAGCTGTTCTAGACTGGGAGTTGGCTGGCCAGTTACTGTGGGCTTTGTTTAACTTCTGCATGCACTGTGGGGCTGGCCTGTCACATAGATGCAGAGAGAGTTCAACAGTTTGAATCTTACATCTCTTAACCTTGGCAACCCAAAATATTACAGACCCTGACTTCATATCTGCAGCAACCCTCTGAACACCCCTCAGAACTGGAAAGCCACATGGCATGTGAGCTACAAAACACTTGTATTTAAAAAGTTGTTTATCCCAGCATAGTCTCAATGACAAAGCAAATTCTCATGTCATGCCAAATCCCAATTAACTTCTGTTGTGAGCGGAAATGAGAGTCCTTTTAAAGTCATGACTCTGAATTGTCTAACAGAAGCTTCTGGAAGTGCAATTCCACAGATGACTTATTCTTACAAATCTGTCCCCACCTCCTCACATTCTGCAGATAATTAATGAGAGTGTGTAATTGTAGCTGTTTTGCTTCCTGTATGCTGGCTGCTAACTGTTACTAAATTGGTATTTGACTAATCAAGCTATGGCTCAGTAGTGCACACAGAGTCAGCACAGATAGACGTCATGAGGTTCCCAGGATGCACGATCTACAAAGACCCGTTTCCCTGTGGAGCTACGGAACAATTCTGGAGACACCCAGCCACCACAAAGGACACTGACAAATGTGCACCATGTCAGTCAGTGAGTCAGGGGCTATGTGACAAGAAAAGGTCAGCAAAGGGAATGGCAGGTACGATGGCCCTGGTTCCAGAACATGACAAGACAAGGAACAGAGGGCTGTAGTGGGCTGCCGCAGAGGTAGGAGAGACCTGGTGATAGCTCGACAAGAGTCCCTGAGGCATTTAGAATAATGTGTGCAGATGAGGTACAGCAGGTTTGCTTCTTAGGGTGCAGCAGGTGTGTGGGGTAAAGAGCATGGAGGAGACTGTGATCTCTTCAGTCGACAGTGGTAGGTACAAATGGACACGGGTCAGGCTGTAAAACACTGTGGTCTTGGTCATGGTGGGAACACCAGTGGCTTGATGCACCAGGGCCTGAATTTCTGACTGGACTCTTTAACTGGGTTTGGATGTTGAGGAGGCAGGTGAGAGGAGCTCAGAGACCATACTAGAGATACACCCTTGTTTGTCCATCCCAGCAGCGGAAGAACCTTTGCCAGGTCTGAAGGGGCAGAGCAGCAGCACAAGTCACCTACCTTTATGTGCAATTTGGCTTTTGTCAGCAAACTCAGTGTGGTGTGTCGGCTTGACTCAGGGCCCAGCGGCACCAATCCCTTCAGCTTCTCCAGGCACAAGCGGAGATGAGCACGCCTGTGAAAACAGAGACATAGCAGCACTTGAGACTCTTACATAGGTTCTGAAGTGAATGACTGCCAGAGCCTGCAAAGGCTGGTGCCAGCAAAACCGTGTGTGGCTAGGCACCTACACTGAAACCCAGTGAAAAGCAGCAGAACTCAGGCTTCTAGGCTGATTCCATAGGAAATTATGTGAAGTGGGGTACAAAATCTGCTTATATCAGGCACTTTTATCAGCTTCTCCTGAATCAGAAGATGACATTCCCAGGGCAAAGTTCTCAACCTGTGATTTTCTTCCTAAGTTACTGAATCAAATCACTGCTGTGCATAGTATTTTTTTTTCCCCACATATGGGACAGGTATAGCATAGGTAATACTGACAGATGTGTGACACACCATCCCTCCATCTCAAGTGTGCTGGACAAAGGCTAATGTGGAGGGGCCACAGCCACACACAGATCCTGTGTCACAGAATGACCAGAAGCAGAGGAGGCCCCACAACTTCAGATGTTTACACTTCACTGAAACCTCGGTTTGGACTTCACTCTAGAATGGAGCAGATTTCCTGAGCCATCCTAACCCAAAGGGAATCCTTAGTTCTGGGCTTTTCCATGTGGTTTGGTGTCAGACTCCTTGGGAAGCCTAGCCTAGGCTTAGTCATGGAAACTATGCACACTGATGCCTGTGTCAACCATTTTGGTGGACTTTAAGCTTCTTGAAGACAGAGTCCAACTCATCACACCTACACAGAGCTTGGCCCTGGGCACTGCCCATTCTCTCACACAGCCAGCTTGAAGAGTGCTTGCAGCCTCTGGGGAACAGGGTAGTGCCTCTTGGGGTAGCACTGGTAATGTGGATTGGCCCTCATTCTGAGCCCCCTGCTCCATCTGGATCATGGTGCGCTGAGAGCCTCTGAGCTTAAGGAGCACATGTAAGTTGGCTGATGTAAAAGCCTGGATGCTGGCTGTGAAGTCCTGCCCTGTGGAGGAGCCCACAGCACAGACTCAATAGCATTGGCTAGCTGCTGTGGTTAGGGGAGCAGAAGTGGTGTGCAAGATACTGGTGGTGGATATACTCTAACACAGATCATGCAATCATAAGTACTGTATGAGCAGCAGCAAGATGCAATGCACAAGTATGAAAATGCCACAGTGAAACATTTACTTGCACACTAGAAGATTAATACTAAAGAAACACCATAAGGGCTGGAGATGGTTCAGTGGTTAAGGGCACTGCTGCTCTTCCAGAGGACCTAGGTTTTAGCACCTACACTGGGCAACGTTCTGATGCCTCCAGTTTCCACAGGCACCTGCATTTACAGGCAAATACTCACACAGAGGCACATGAACTCACTCTGTAGACCATGCTGGCATTGAGCTCAGAGATTCGCCTACCTCTGCCTCCTGAGTGCTGGGATTAAAGGTGTGCACCACCACCGTCCAGACTGGAACATAATTTTTAAAAAATCTAAAAAAGAAACTATGAAAAAAGTATCACTAGTGACTTGCTTGCACTAGTGACTATAGAGTGCCATGACTTGCTTGCACTAATTTACCTCTCACTCTAATGCTTGCAGACTAATTATATACAGGTGATTACCAGCCTACAAGACTGCAGGGGACAAATCTGTCACACTGTCCTCCTGTGATGAGGTTATACACGAGCACAGACTGGCAGTGTACAGCTGGCAGTGTACAGATCTGTCACTGTCCCCCAGGGTCATTTTACTGCCCCATTCGATGGTCTTCTGTTACCAAGAGTGGCCTTTAGCTCCTGTTCTGGTAGGAGAAGGTGGTGCCAAACACTGGCTTCTCCTGTCCCCATCAGCCTATTGCTAGCAGAGTCACACTGCTTTGAACCTAGGTAATGAACTTGGGCAGCTTCCTTCTGGCTCTTCAGGAGGAGTGCTAGAAATGGTCTGTGTAGACAAAAGACTTGGGTCTACAGCAGCATGAGAAGCCACACTTTCACCTGCCCTGCACTGCACTGACGGTGCTTTCAGTCAGGAATGGCCTGTAACCAGCAGTCCACCACACAGATCAACCACAACCTTCTCAGTTGACAAGTGCCCCAGGCCCTATATTTAGTACTCTTACCACTCTGCATCAGTCACTATTACACAAGCCAACATTAGTGTAGTGTGTGGAGCGGAGTTTGCTTTGCCACTTATTCCCCATGTGACTTTGAACAAGCTATGTCACTCTGAGGCCTCTAGTTCCTCATCTGCAGAATGCATGACAGAGCCTACCCTAGAGGGCCACAGAGGCTCTCCAGAGAGGGTAGGGTCTGATATTGTATACTGTCTCAGCTGGCATTACTCTTCCAAGCCTAGCTCTTCTACACAAGGGAAACTGCCCTGAGCAAATATGGACAAGCAGGGTGCTGCAATGTTCCTCCCCAACCACCAGCAAGCTCAGGGTCCTCACCAGGTAGGGGCTGACTCAAAGAAAATTGGTATCTTCGTCCTTGGAATAGCTAGTAAGCAAGCTAACTCTACTGTGGAAATACAGGCATCACTTACTATAAGGATCAACAAAGTGTTTACAGCTATGAGTGTAACAGGAGGTCCCTCTGAGGTCCTGTGTCATGTGGCAGCTGGCCTGGATCAGGAGGGAGGCATGTGCCTCACTTTCCAGCCTGCAGGCTATGGCATTCTCCCTCCAAACCTATTGCAAAGATCGTCACAAAGCAAGACCTTGCTGGAGAAACACGTGGTACACCTGGAGAGTTAAAAAACCCCTCCCATAGCACAAGAAAGGTACCACAGTTAGGAGTGAAGTTAAAACAAATTGAGAAGGATTGAGGGGAAGAAAGCTATCAAATATTGCTGAAGGACAGGAAAATCTGAGTGAATGGAAAAATCCACACATTCCTGGTGATGACCCCTCAAAGCAAAATGCCAGCATTCCTCAAATTAAATCCAAGTCCACAAACACAAAACCCCAACAGTTTTCATTTAATGCTGGAAAATGAGCCTAAACTTCTCCTAGAAGAATACGTATGTGAGACTGCCCACATTTTGGAAAAAAAATGAGGAGGAATGCACTGCACAGACATTGAACCGTTGGGAAGCTGTGACAACTAAAAGCAGCATTGGCATTACAGACACACGGCAAGCCAGCAGAACAGATAGACTCTCAAGAAAAAAGAGCTGAATTTAGGCACAAGGGCACAGTGTTGCAGACCTTGGGATTAGTGTGTACAATCTGGCCTGGGAGTGGGCAGGTCACCACCAAAACAAACACCAGCAGATCTAAGTATAAAACACACATGCCCCACAGTGCGGGTAGCTTTGCTCAGTCACCAAGGATAGAAAATCAAATAGTCAAGTGAAAGAGAAATGCCCCTAGGGCTCGTGGTGTCTCACAACGCTGGTACCTTCTATACTGAGGAACAGACTCAGTGTGAAGATAAACAGTGCAGACAGGAGCTGCAGCCTCCAGGGCCTGCCCTGAGCTCACTGAATTAGGAGCTGTCAAGCTTCTGGTTGAGTGTTAGTATCTCTTTAGCAGGGCCCAACTTTTAAATATGAACCCTACAGCATGCTGAGCACTTGTTGGTCAAGGGACAAACACTTAACCAGGTTCAAGGTGGCCTCCATGTGGCAAATGTTTGGCTCTTCCACCTTTATTTCTTGAAGAGTTTCTCAGGGGACTCCTGGACACTGGAGCAATGCTGGAAAAGAGCAAGTCCCTGCCTGAGCCATTTAAAATCAGTTCCCACTGGAAGTGTCTGAATGGGCTCCCTTTGTTCTTTCCCCACCCACAAGCCCCCAAGAGTTCCCCGAAAGTGGTCTATGATAATATGCTTTCCTCTACCTGGGTCACATTCACTCTCACTCACTAACTCACACTGAATTTTCTATGTGGTCAGTTCACTGCCAAGGACAAAAAGATGCCAAGTTTTCTGCTTCCTATCAAGCACTGGACCCCAGTGATCATACTGTGCCTGTCCATGCTGACAGGAGTCCCTCAGAACAGTATTTTCATTAGAAGGTGCCTGTGATTACTATCCAAAAAGGAGAGGTGGACCTTCACTTCAGTGCTTGGTCTCTCACCCTGGTGTGTGCAAAGAGAATAGCACAGAGCCTTTCAGGGTTACTAGATGTGTACAGAACTCCCAGGTGAAGATTACAAGTCATGATTAAGGGAAGGTATATTTTCTTTCTTTTCTTCTACAGTGATGTTTTCATCAACTGCTGTAGTGGTGTATCACTAATGTGATTGAAGCCCTGGAAGAATTCTTATCACCATGCTGATAAATCTTTGCAGGAATACAAAGGCAGCAACACATCCAGTGATGTGCAGAATAACTGGGCTGCAGCTCCATGCAGAAGACATGGGCTGTCCTTTTACTAATCTAGGAACTACACAGCTGTGCCTCCTTAGTATTTCTTTCCCAGGGTTTGATTTTAATATAAAATATATCCTAGTGAGTACCTGCTAGCTCTGTCTCATCTTCTGACTGTTAACTCTGGCAATGAAGTCAGAGAGTACCCTCAGAACACCAGGTAGGGGGCCAGAAGTAGGGAGAAGCAGAAAACACAGGCCTCTTCTGGCCTCCAAAGGCAGATGGCACCAGAGGTAAGCACAGAAGAGAAGGTTCTAGAGGTAGGCTGTCAGCACAGCCTGCATCTGCATACCTATCCCCATAATGCATGGATAACCTCTGACTGCCTCCACTCCATGTGCCAAGTCAAGAATTGATAATGATATCTTAGAATGAAATCTGAATGTGGTGTGTGCAGAAGCAGTGAGAGCAGCACGATGCCCAGTACACCCTGGCCCAGTGCACACCACAGCCAGGCCCAGTGCAGACCATGCCCAAGTCCAGGACATACCATGTCTGACCCTTCTGATAAAAAGAATATGGCCATTTGTAAAGTCAGAAACCCAGGAAGACAGTTCTAGAGACCTACAATTATCAGAATAGTCTACAGAAAAACTACTGGAATGGTCTCTCATGCCAGGCTAGGCACCACTAAAATCCTATTGGACAAATAAAGATCATAGCACAGACCAAGGATGCAAATCTCCAGAGCACACACACAAATCTTTTGTCACAGGGTCAGATGACCCTAAGCCTGGCAAAGCCCATATCTGTACCATCCCAGAAAACATGGGTGTCTACTATTCAAGGAAAAGCCAGAGCTTTCTTCTGGGCTGGTCCCTGTTGTGGCACTGACTCTTGATCCTAACACACCTGTCACTATGACTGGTGTGTTAGCAGCTCCATCACCACAGTGCTTTCTGAAAGACACTTACACCAGGGCAGTTCCTAGACAAGAGACAGAGCAGAACCCACACATGTATGCAATGAGAGATGGGAAGGATTCCTGTGTTCTTAAGATCACCAACCTCTTAACCACAGGAACCTATAGTACCAAAAATTACACAACCCCCCCCCCTTTTTGGCAAGAAATGTGCAAGATTTATGGGGAAATGCTACAAAGCTTTGCTTAGACACAGGAAAGAGGTCTGAGTAAATTAAGAAATATTGAGTCCTGGATGAAAAGACCTAACAGCATATACTTTTTGTTTTATTTTGTTTTTGAGATGGTTTTTCTGTGTAACCTTGGCTGTCCTAGAATGGGCCTCAAACTCAGAGATCCACCTGTCTCTGCCTCCTGAGTATGGGGATTAAATGCTTCTGCTACTACCACCTGGTTTAGCATATACCCTTAAAGGCTAATTATATTGGAATTATGTAGCTTCAACTTTTGAAATCCTAAGAATTTGGGAGATAAGGAGTTGGAGGGCTGATTAAAAGCATTTTTTGGAACTGGACTCTGTGACAGGTTACAACAATCCTAACACATGGAGGCTGGGGTAGGAAGACCCCAACTTCAAGGTCATCTTGGGCTCATGGATATCCATAGCAAATCTGAGGCTTGCCTGGGCTATAGTAGCAAGGCCCTGTCTCAAAAAAGGAAAGAAAAATAGTCATAAGAATCATGGCCATGGGGGCTGGAGAGATGGCTCAGTGGTTAAGAGCACTGGCTGCTCTTCTAGAGGACCCCAATTTGGTTCCCAGCACCCACACAGTAGCTTAGCATAGCTGTCCGTAACTCAGTTCCAAGGTATCTAACAGCCTTCCATGAACTCTGCAGGTACCAGGCATACACATGGTGCACATACATACATGCACGTAAAATACCCATACACATAAAGTAAAATAAATAAGTCTATGAAACCAAACAAGAAGATAGAAACCTCGGATGGAAGCAAGAGTTTTAAGTACACAAAGGGCAAGAGCCATCAGTGAACACCGGTATCCTAAGGAAAATAAATGATAAACTAGACAGTTACATGACAGATGTGCATTTCCTACACATTCTTTATCCTGAAGTACTGCAGGTGATCAACAAATGCCACCACCATTCTAAACATCTTTCTTCTTATGGGTACCAGGTATTTAACTGTTGAGCCCATCCTGGGGTAAGGATTGTTATGAATGTCTAAGGTGTCACGTGTATCCAACTCTACAATACCAAAGTGGGTGGGGGATGCCATCTTAGATTTTTTTTTTCTGGGTTGTTTTTATTTTGAGAGCCATCACAATCTTTTTATGTAGTATATATTTTTAAGATTAAAAAGTAATGTGTGTGTATGTACATGTACTACATATGTGGTTGGTACTCATGGATGCCAGATCCCCTGAAACTGGAGTTACAGACAGATGTGAGCAGCCTATATGTGCTAGGAATGGAATCCCAGTACTTTGCAAGAGCAGCTGGTGCTCGTGACCACTGAACCATCTTTCTACTTTCTCTCTCTCTCTCTCTCCCTCCCTCATTCTCTCTCTCTGCTCTTTCTCTCTCACACACACTTACCTATGTGGATTGGGGAGTGTAACTCAGTAGGTGTGGCAGTGCTCTCCTGTAAGCCTAGCACTCCAGCAGGAGGATCAGAAGTTCAAGGTCATCCTTAGCTATACAGTAAATATAAAGCCAGTCTGGGATATATGTGTGACTCAAGCATACTAGGGGCCAACAGGGAGGTTTTCTTAAGAGTCAGCTACCAAAGTCAGGTGGCTACAAGAGTAGTTGTAGACCTAAACTCAAGAATTTCTTAAGCCATGCATGCCAATAAGGGAGAGGGAGAGGGGTCAGAAAATTATAACCTCTTCCCCTGGGTTGCAGTAACCAAGTTTGGCTAAATTAAGTGATGGAGGCCTTATTTCCTTCTCTTTCAGACCACATACTCAAAAGCAGGCAAAGACTTATTAGGTAAGACTCAATTCCAACAGGCACAGGAAGCAGGAGAGTGGAAATGACAAGCACAAGCTGAAGGGCACACGGAAGCAATCTGAGGTCTATGCAGCCAGTGCTGACTTCTAATCACAGACATACACCCAGACACCCACACCCCACACACAGGTGCACACACACTTATGTTGTGTAATGTTCTCACTGAGGAAAAAGGCATAGAATCTGGGAAGGCCTAGGCTGCAATCTGTTTTTCCTTTGCAGGGCTGGGATGGAACCCAAGGCTGTGCATGACAGGCATGTACTCTGCCACGAAGCCCTGGCCCAAAGGGCAGAAACTGGATAAGACAAACAAATTTCAGAACAAAAGGTCTCAAAGGAGGTTAACTGGAGGCAGAGACAGCTGCTTTACCTAGGTTTCTACAGATGCAGACATAAAAGAGCCTCTAAGGATGAGGAAGGGAGGCCACAGCTACCACCTTGTACCCGAAGACAATACTGAGTTTCTAGCCCCTCAAAGCACAAAGGCAGCTCAGACATAGAGCACAGTCAGGGAGCAATGAGTAGTGGGGAGGCCCACACACTGTCACACTCACTTGAAATCCTGCAAGGGAACAGAGCTGACGGTTTGGTTTCCTTCCCAGCTCCTGCCTGTCTGGCAAGGGTCTGGTTTGTCTTTTCCTGGGTGAAACTTAAAACACAATTCTAGCCCAACTTTCAGAGTCCTGGGAAATAGGACCATCATCAGAGCAGACCTTCCTGTTCACACAGGTACAAGAAGCCTTTCCACCTCGGTGGGTAGCATGCATTTCAAGAGGATGGATGCTTGGCTGTTCCATGTTCGAGTCACCTGGGGCACTTTTGAAGAAGTCTGGTGCAGAGCCCCAGCCCAAAGCAATGAAGTCTGATTCACCATGTGAGGGCTGACATTGCCTATTTGTTTAAAGCTCTTCAAAGAATTAGTATTAATTGTTTCTCAGTATAATAGAGGCCTGTGGTTATATTTACTTTTTTCTTTTTTAAAAAATTAAGTCTTTACTGCTAAGTGGGGTGGCTTTTAAGTACCTCATGGAGAAGGGCAGCTGCAAGTGTAGGGACCTGGAGGCTGGGTAGACACACAGAACACTGCATTCCTTTCACTGTGATACATTAAAAACTTTTCCATTAAAACTTTTTTTTTACAGAATCAGTAGAAATAAACAGCTGCTCTCTGCCCCAGAAGATACGTGTGTGTGTGTATGTGTGTGTGTGTGTGATTTAATATATTTTTAAAAGATAGTTAACAGTTTTGCCAGTGAGTCTAAAGTGCAACAGAGCTGAGAACTACTAGGCAGCATCACTGAAGGCAGGGAAGCTTGATCTGGAGACTAGAGGTTATGTTAGAAGCAAGCAGCAATCAGGAGTCAGGCTGGGCTTGGGGCAAGGTAAGGCTCAGAGAGTGGCAGGCCCCCTCCAGCAACAAACAGCACCCAGACCTCCATTCATCATCCTCCCCATTTCCCATATGCACAGCTGCCTGACTTAACTCTTCATTCACAAGTTAACTGCAGCCATGTATGCATGTGCACACACAATGCACATATTCATATACATGTGATTAAGCATATGATTAAGCATACCCAAGCTCATGCATATCTCACTACCTGTGGGAGTCATCTGAAGGCATTCCCGGGAGTGGGTGGGGTGAGGGGAAGGCAGTAAGCTCCTCATCCACCAGGTAATGCAGGCACACCACTGGTTAGAGGGCCCGAGTGAACTCCTAGCTCAGGGGTCACCATTGGGAATGAGGGTGGATTTAAAACCTTGATGACTAATACATGCATCAAACTCAAGAGCCCCCCACTCACCTGTTCTTCTCCATCTCATTGTGAGTTGATCTGAAAGAGGAACAGGAAAATAAGATTACTCTTGTCTTTCAAAAAATCAATTATTCTTATCCTTTTCCTCCTTCAATTATCCTTGTGTTAAAGAGTGACTTCAAGCTGGGCATGGTGGCCGTTGCCTTTAATCCCAGCACTTAGGAGGAAGAGGCAGGTGGATCTCTGTGAGTTCAAGGCTAGACTTGTCTGTATAGTGAGTTCCAGGACAACCAGACTTACATGATGAGTTACATGATGAGACCCTTTCTCCAAAAAAAAAAAAAAAAAAAAAAAAAAAAGGCCCTTCAGCACCAACACAACTGAACTTGTCACACAAAGTGTTAGTGTCTTTTTTACTATTGCTCTCTATCTTAATTTCTTCTAACTTTCTGAGACAAGGCCTCTCAATGAATCTGAATCTGGAGCTCTGCTTTGACTAGACTGTGGCAGAGCCCTAGGGCTGTTTCCATACCCACTGTGCTGGGGTCAGAGATGTCTGCTCCCAAGTCTGAGTTGTACATGAATGTTTGGTATCTCAGCATTGAATAGCAAGCACACTACCTATACAGCTATCTCCCTAACCCCTATTTTACTTTTTTCTACAAAGTTAGTAGAGAGAAGGTAGATGGGGCAATACCCTGGATTCATCTAAAGGAGTCTACTTGGGAAGTCAGACAATTAAAAGTCTTTAAAATAGAGTTCAAGGGACTAGAGAGATGGCTCAGTGATTAAGAACACTTGGTGTTCTTGCAGAGGACCCAGGTTCAATTCCTACCACCTACATGGTAACTCACAACTGTTTGTAACTCCAGTTCTCTAGGGGATCTGATCTCTTCTTCTGACCTCTGTAAGTACCAGCTAGATACATGATGCACATGACATACATGCATGTAAAATACTCATATGCACAAAATACAAATCTAAATATAGTTCAAGGAACTCCAGTGACTTATTAAGAGGCATGCAGTCCTTTATAAGGAGGAAGAGGGTCACTTACAAAACACAGTTGTACAGTGTGGTGTGCCTGGAGTTGCGTAAGACTACAAAGCCTTCTTTATGTTATCTGTAAAGTCATGGGGGTGGTGTCATACCCCTGCCCCCATCCTAAGGGCAGCATATACTAAAACATGATTCTGTTTGGTTACAAAATCCAATTTTAACTGGTAAAATAACTCCTTCCAAGTCAGCTCCCTGAATTAAATGCCTCATGCATAACCTCTGGGAAGCTGCAGCCCCACAGCAGTGAGATACCGCAGGGTTTTGCAAATTCAACCTGAAGGCAATGTCTGGTAAAAGCAGGAATTGGAATGGAGGGGAAAAAGCAAAACAACAACAACAACAACAACAACAACAACAAAAACAGCTTTGCCCTCTGTGGCGCTGTACATAAAATAATTTTACTATCTCGTCCTTGGTTAACCCCTCTGTTAAATGGGAATGAAATAATTGCTGATAATTTCCTAAACAAGCGTGGATCAATGAGGAAACAACTATAAAAGTGACTGGCAAGGCTCAGATGAAAGGCACACTGGGTGAGAAACCTGTGATTAGTGTTTATAGCTGACCTCGAGGACTAGGCCTTGCCTTGGACTTCATGACAGGGTTCCATAGTCATGAGAGTCAACATGATTCCTTCTATACCCTCATGCAGCTTCTCTATGACCAGGTATAAATGTGAGGAAGCTCAGTTTTGGAAAGGGACTGAATCTGGCCCCCGGCTCTGGTGGTGAGCCCAGGAGGTAAAGCCTCAAGGCAGCCATGGCAAATGCTCAGCATGCATGGCACCATTGGCTCCACAGCCAAGTTCACTCACAGTGGGGGTAGAGGGTTGTTTTCAAACAAGAAATTTTTAGCTCAGCACTAAAATTTCTCTTCTAGGGATTGGTGAGAAGGCTCAGCAGATAAAGGTTCTTGCCACAACACCTGATAACCTGAGTTTGAGATCTAGGACCCCCCTAGTGGTGGGAGAGAACCAACTTCTGAAAGTTGTCCTCTGATCTGCACAGGCCAACCATGGCAACACGTACCTGTACATGTACACACAAATAAATAAAAATGTGATTAAAACAAACTTTTTTTTCAATAAGGCCCTGGAAGATTAATTTCTGTTAACGGGGAGAAACAAATGAGAAAATAATGGTGGCATTTCAATTTTTGTTTCTAGGACCTCCAAACCAGTTTTCAGTTGGTTCCCTGGGTTCTACATCAGTCTGATTTATGTCTCTCAGGGGCTGGCAAGAATCTTTCCTGAGCTGCAAACACGTGGCTTCAAACACGTGGCATTTTACCTTTAACTGGGAATACTAAGTTCAAAGTCTGACAGTTTTTTTTTTCCCCCCTAATGGATAAAAGTGGATGACTAGAGCTGGTTAAGACTTCCCTACAGAGAAGGAGTGCCCTCACCCTGTCCCTGAAGGTTGGGAGGAGAAAGAGCACCTGGGGTATTCTTAGCAATAAATTCTATAGTCTTTGAAGAGCTACAGACAGACTGATCTACATAAAATCATTCTGAATCTCCAGGCTACAAAATCTACAGGAAGCATAACTCTGCAATTTTTTGACTCAAGTTTTAGAAATGACAGGCTTTATTTGGTCACTTACGAGTGTTGAACACATGGTGCCTTTTAAAGGGGGACAGACATCTAAAAGGTGTAACTGAAATGTGCTTGGCTTAGGTGAACACCAAAGTTTTAATTAAGGCACAGGAGAATGCATGGATACTGTCTGTGTCAGACCATGTTCCATGCAATCATGGAGGACATGAGGACTCTGGAACGGCCATAAGGTCAATCCTTGCCTGTAACAGCACCCCTAATAAAAAGATAACTCAGCCAATGCAATATGTCAGTGAGGCTCCTCGTGTTAGGTCGGCTCCATAGCCACTCCTTATAAAACAGATCAGTGACCAAGTCCCGGACTTCCTCTTTCACATCAGCGGCAGAGCAGGTTTCACTTGCATTAACAAACTATATTTCTAAAAACCTTACCATGGCAGAGGCAGTTCCAATAAGAAGCGGAGGCAGGAAGAACATCAGACCCAGGAGTTGGGCTAGCCTGGGCAACAAGACTGTCTTTATCTTTTATTTATTTAATTTTTTCAGTGCTAGGACTGAGCCCAGGACCTCACATGCTAGACAAGTACTCTACCACTGAGGTGTATCTTCTGCCATGTTTTTCTTTAAAAACAACAGCAAACAAAAACAGGAAAAACAAAGCTCTTAATTTCAATTCTAAATAACTAAGTGATTTTAAAAACCAGTAGGAAAGAAAGATCCTGCCTTTTTAATTCACTGGTTCTCCAGATGATTTCAAAACAACTAACAATCACTATGAATGCTGTTGTTGTTGTTATTATTATTGTGGTTGTTAATTAATTTTTGACAAAAACAGTTTTAAAACAAACTGCATTTTCAGTTCCCAAGAAGTTTGAAATAATGGCTGAATCTTACTTTTTATTGTCCAAAGCAAAGCACTTCCTCAGACACCACAAAGCAAAGAGTGTAACAGTTCAACCTGAACATGAATGTTATTGGCAAAGAGTTCTGTGAAATAGCAGTATACCCCTGGCACTCGCATTTCAAATTTATGTTCACATGGCTGGCCCTGGGGCACAAGGCTGATTCTGGTGCCCAGCTATTCTGGCTTCTTAGGTAAAGGTTGTGCCAACAGCCATGGGAGAGACCATGCCTACACAAAACTACCTGCTCTGACTTTAACCCTGGACTCTAAGGGACCCTTTCCACACTGACCGCATAACACCCGGTCACTGTTAGTGAAATACATGGACAGCTGTAACAGTCCTATCTCTAAGAAGAGAAAGCAAGCCTCTTAACACAAGGGTTTTCAGCTTTTCCAAAAGTCAGGAACTGTAGCCACTTTGCAGGAGGCTTAAGACAAGAGAAGGACTTTAGTGTTTGGGTTAGCATTTTAAGTTCTCACTATACTTTTTAAATCATCCTTCTGGGACAAAGTCACTTAACAATGCCTTTCTACTCCCCACTCCTCAACACCCCCAGCAACCTTCCTATAAAGCAGGAAAAAATAGTTTTAAGACATTAAAGTCTAGGACTAGTAAGGTGGACAGTTCCTCCTAACTTAGGAGTGGTAATAATAAAGGCAAAAGTAGAACACTAGCACTAGTATAGAGACAACAACAAACAACACAAACTGTTACAAAATACAGCAGAGCTCTTTCTGAAGCCACTGTTTGACTCATGTCAGTGTGAGCATCCTCTTGAAGGGCTGTAGTGGCCATGTGCAGCATGACTGACTACCACCATTAGGCTATGCTACATAAGAGGACAAGGAAAACCCACCAGGTAATTACTGGGTCAGGACCACCCTTACTGTGCCTTAGTCAGGAGTGTGGCCCAGTGTGAGGATCAGTCTGTGATTCCAACACTAAGGTCTATGGAGGGGGTGAACCAAGGACAAGGTGGGTGAGTTTTAGGTGTTAGTGGGAACTTCCTAGGGTTTAGCGGTCTGTATTAAGCTACAGAGGTTACCCTATATGGTACTCTGTGCTCTGAGCAGTTATTCACGAGGGGTAGGGATTAGGGTTCTAAATTGCTGATGAAAATGTCAATAATTTTAGGCATGGCCTAAATTGAATGGCCCTAGTAACATGAACCCCTACCAACTAGTTAGGGTTTTGTCTTTGTTTTGTGAGGAAGGGTCTCAAAATGTAGCCCTGTAGTCTCACATGTAGGTGGTCTAGAATTCCCAGTCTAGGACCAAGCTGGCCTCCAATTCACAGAGATCCCCCTGCCTCTGCCTGCTGAGTTCTGGGATCAAAGATGTGTGCCATCATGCCCCAACTCCAACTAGTATTTTAAGGGCAAGGATGAGCATATAGGTATAGTAACAGAGATGAGATGTTATTGTGGATCAGGGGCTGTGAGTTCCCAGTCATTAGCTAAACATTGTGGTGAAATCCACAGCTTTTGAGGACTAGAAGGTAATCTGTGAGGCTAACAGGAAAAGGCTGTAACTTGCTGACATCCTAATGTTACTTGCACCTTCTCACAGAAGTGGGCTCTAACCTCAATCACTCTGCTCAGCCATCAGAAACAGAGGTTACAACTGGTTTCTCAGACAAACTATGCATTTAATTTACACGTTAAATATAAATTTCTACCACCTGTGTCAGGCCAGATACCATGTTTATAAAATCTTCACTATGACCAGCAAAATCAACTGATAACATGGTGCATTTTGAATGAAAGGAAATGTGTGAACTCTGTTGCTCATAAAGAAGGCAAAAGGAGTGACCCCTCTGCTAGTCCCATGGAGCATGGAGTTTTGCTTTGTTCAGAGGGCGAAAAGTAGAATTAATTTTAAAAAATGTCATAATGAAATGTTAAACATTCCTACTTTCTCTTCAGTTTCCTCAACTTAAAAAGAAAGGCTCTTTAGCACCATGTGTGCTTTACCGGACCCTCAATGTATCTGTAGGGCCAGAATCCCAGCAGTCAACTAACAATCAGTCTTCGTGTTAGCTACAGAGATGGTACATTGAGCAGTTTACCTGCTACTGGTGCTGTTCTTCTTGGGCTTGTTCCTCCGTTTGAAGACATCTCTGTCCTTGCTACTGTACGGCAACATGGAGGCATACCCATGTTCAGCTTCTAGAAAACCGAGGGGTTCCGTTAATGAATGGGCTCAGAGCATCTGACTCCCTGTCCCCGCGTCCGTCTGTCTGTCGGAGTCCGGGACACCGGCCGGGAGCAGGCAGGCGGAATTCTGAGAACAATGCCTGCTCTTTCCTGGCGTGGACGCCCTCGGTTCGGAGCAGGTGTGGAAGGTTCCAGCTGCTCGCCGCCCCCCGCGCTCGGCTTTTGGGGCGCGGGCCCGGGGGTTGGCGCTCGCGACCGGCCCGCGCCCCAACCACCCCAGCGGCCGCCCGCCCGGCCCGCAGCCCGCCGTGCACCTCTCTCCCGCCGCTCCAGGTAGTCGGCCGCCTCCAGCAGCAGCTGGATGTTCATCCCGACGGCTGTCGCCATCCTGCACCCCGCGGGCCGCCTCTCCTTGCCCGCGGGTCGCGGGCTGGGAACGCCGAGGAGTCGCCGCGCTGGCCAGGCAGAAGAGGTATCGCTGGGACGGCACAGAGCCCGGATACCAGCAGCGGCCGCCGAGTGTTTATCCCGACTCGCCTCCGCCCGCCCCCGGCCCCGTCCCTTGACAGGCCCGCGGCGGCGGTGCCCCTCATTGGGTCGCCCACGGCACAGCCCGCCCCCAGACCGCCGCGATTGGGGAAGTGGCCGCGGCCCCGCCCCAGAAGTCCGCTCCTCCCGCTGGTTGGCCGGTCTTGACAAGACACAGACCCCGCCCCCTACACCCCATTGGCCACAGGACTTGCAACTCCGCCTCGTGCTCCTGCCTGCATCCCATTGGCTGAGGCAGAAAGCCGGGCCCCCATGGACTCTGCTGGCATTGGGCAAGCACAGTATAGAGACTGCTGCTGCACCCGCGCCTCATTGGCCGAGCCCTCGGAAACCTCCCGGATACGATGACGTCACCGCTCTGCCAAGCCGCGGCCCACTTCCGTGCTGCCGATTGGCTGAGGCAGGAGGGCACGGGCGGAGCTCCGCCCACTGGCCGCCGACCTGTTGCCCACTGTCTCCGGGGAGAACTTAAGGCCTAGCCAGAGACGCGGGCTGCAAGTAGGTCCTACCCCAGGCATAGGGGATATGGTCGGGTCACCTATCCTAAACTCATACGGACTGGCCGGGTGCCTACAGAGTAAGGCTGAACTCGAGGCCGCCCCTTCCATCCCAGAGGAAAACACTACTGAGCAGGCCTCTCCCCAGCATAAAGGACATGTGCTCCATAGGTAACCCACTAGAAAGCTCATTCTGTAAACACAGGTCCTTGAGCAATCACGATTTTTGAAATGAGAGCTCATTCGAGTGTAAGGTCAACATCTCCAATTTAAAAGGCAGGGTAAGAAGTCTGAAAAATGAAATGCGCAGGGTATTTTTAAATAAAACCTATTGGTGCTGTCCGTTTGCAGTGTTAGCTTCCTTTGTACAGACAGGTCAGGTAACCTACCTACACTGTTTCCATCCCTCAGGACAACCCGGGGGGTTGTCATGCTTACCTACATTTTGCACATGAAGAAATTGGCTCAGAGACAAATAACTTTCCTGTTCTTACTTGGCTTGGGGAAAGACCTAAACCCCTGCCATCTCACTCACAACTGGCCTGACAACCCTCTGATTTGCAGTTGTACAAAAAAAATAAAACAAACAAAAACATCCATGGCAGATAACACAGAATTGCAGACAGTCATAGAATACCAAACTGTGGGTAACACACAATGCACAATGTTGCCTGGCATGTGCAAGGATACAATCAAGGGCTATATGCTGATGAACACGCCAAAAGCAGTTTTTCAGGAAGGCACAGAACTTCAAAATGAGAATGTGGGAAAGAACAATTTGGAACATTTTAAAATTGTATGCTGTTTGTTAAAATTTAAAAACCAAGGTAATGTAAGCAACTGTTAAAATAACCATTGTAATATTCCTAAAAATGCTCTGTTTTGGCCATTTTAACATCTTGAATTTTGCACTTTTTTGGTTCCTCCCAACTTTCAGTGAATATTTGACATCTTTTTAGCCTTTCTCGTTTGCTCTCAACAATTTGTTTCAGGGTCATAATTCTTACCCTACAATTACTCCAAATGAAAAACCACACCCTTCCTTCCTTCCTTCCTTCCTTCCTTCCTTCCAGTTTTTTGAGACAGGGTTTCTCTGTATTGTTTTGGAGCATGTCCCGGAACTAGCTCTGTAGAGCAGGCTGGTCTTGAACTCAGAGGTTCACCTGCCTCTGCTTCCTGAGTGCTGGGATTAAAGTCATGTGCCACCAACACCTGGCCCCCACACATTTCCTTTTAAAAGGGTGGTCAGAGTTTGAAACCCAAGCTAGAAAGAACAAATAAAGCAAGTAATTTAAGCACCTACAACTCTAAATTCAACTCCAAACAAAAACACTCAATGACATAAACATCAGAGAGTAAGGCTAAGGAATACAATGATCTCCTTTCCTAGTGATGGAAGGGTTAATGACACCAACTAGGACTTAACATCCAGAAGAACAGGCCATCTGGTGCCATCTGCTGGCAAAGAAGCATAATGGGAAAACAAAGGGTGCCCCTGCTCTCAGAACTTCCCCTAAAACCCCACACCCACAGCAGGGAACTGACAGTTCTAAAATGCTTGAGCCCTAACTTTATGGCAAGAATTTTAATAAAAAAGCTACATGTGATAACATAAGGAAGATGCTTTGCAACATGCAAGATAAAACTAAGAACTGAGTAATTAAAATGGAGAGAGAAAAAAAAAAAACCAAAATAAAACCATATGGCATGGTTATCAGACAACCTCTGTCTAGTCTCTTAGTCCCCACAGTCTAGGGGCTTTTCTTCCCATGGTGAAAGGTTGCTGCCAATGATGAGCTCACCTCATACTGTCACATCTGACCAAGAAGGGCTCCTTTGATAAGCACCTCAGAACTTGATGACCACAGCCCTCAACTGTCTCAAAGGCCTTTGAGGAATTAAAGGAATTAAGAGTTAAAACCTTCTTCACAACCAAGTTCACAAAACCACTATGAGATGAATTTTGTCTTCCAAGCTTTTGTGGAGTTGATTTCACTGTTTGAAATGGCAAATATCCAAATAAGACATTACAGCTTTATCAACCCCTTCTTTGAAGTCACTTTGAATACTTCAATGTCATGGCTTCTCTCATCATCTTCAAAACTTCAAAAACAGAAACACACACACACACAAACACACACACACACACACACACACACACACACACACACACACACTACACAGCACACAGAGGAGGGGAAGTTGAAGAGGGTCTCTAAAGGTAGGTGAAATTTACAAAGGCACAGAAAGCTCTACAGGGCTCCACGTTAATTCAATTGTAAAATTATCTCTACATGTTGTTAAAACAAACAAACAAACAAACAAAGAGCAAGCAGGCTGTGTTATAGCACATATGTAATTCCAGCACTCATGACTGGTGCAGTTAAACAATGACTTCTGTGTAAAGGAGAATACAGGGCTGAAGAGTAGGCTCAGTGGTTTAGAGCACCTGCTGCTCTTGCACAGGATCTGGGTTTGGTTCCCAGCACCTACATCTGGTGGCTCACAACCACCTGTGACTTCATTCCAGTCCATTTGTTGGCCTCTTCTGGTCTCTGCATACAAATGGTGCACATACAGACGTGCAGGCATGTACACATAAATACAGTTTTAAAATCAGTAACTTTAAAAAGGGAATCAGTCCTATTTAAGTTAATGTCTTTCCAAAAAACAAATAATATGGCACTACATTCCAAGGCACTCCAAGGGACTGAGGCCATGTCAGCATCAAGGCAATGCCCATTTCTCAGAGTGAAGGGCCAGTTGGTAAAAGCAGAGGACATTAGCCTGTGCTAAATGCTGTGAAGGAAAGTAGAGGTGAGCTTGGAGAGCAGGGATAGCACCCTTCTACACTGCAAGGGAATGGAAATGCTTAAATAAGTCATTATATAACCCAGTAATGTTACTTCTACATAAGACAGGCCAGGGAATTGAGAATAAAAATGTGTTCGTTGTAGCTGGGTGCAGTGGTACCCGCCTTTAATTCCAATACTGGGGAGGCAGAGGCAGGCAAATCTCTCTGAGTTCAAGTTCTAGGATTGCCAGGCCTACATAGAGAAAGATCCCATCTCAAAAAATAAGTATCAAAGTGTTCATACAAAAGTGTTATCAGTGTCCATGGAATATTATTCACAAAAGCAAAAGCAACCTAAATGCCCATCTTCTGTTGTTGAATTACAAGCAAAAATATGGTATAACCTCAGAATGAAGTATTAGTCAACTGTAAAAAGGAAGGTGACACTAATCATTCCACAATGTGGATGATGCCAAATAAAAGCAGTTAGACAAAATTGTATGTAATTCCATTTATACAAAACACCCACAACAGGCACATATCTAGACACAGTACATGCTGGTGAGTTGTGGGAGCATTAAGAGTTGACAGAGTATTAAGAGAATTCAAGGTTTCTTTAAGGGAGGATGAAAGACTATAGTGATGTTGGATGCCTGTCTAACTGAATACACTGAAACTACTGTTATCTTTAATAACAGAGAAGGGACATGAACACATCTAGAAGAGCGAACATTCCAAAGGAAGAAAAAGAAAGTGGGAAGACTAGACAGGCACATGCCCAGCTTCAGAGAAGAGCAATGAGCAAAGCAGATGTGGCCAAGTGCAGTGAGCTATGGTGTGGGTACAGATCACACAGAATGCACTAAAATGGACTTTATTTTAACTGTCCCCCAAACCAGGAGGAGCCTGAGGGATGTCTGCTGTGGGGTGGAGAGTAAAGAGGCAGCAAGAACACAAAGAGAGGACCTATCTGGAACTACTGCAGTAATCCAGGCAAGAGTGTGAGCTTGGAATGGTGTTGGTGGTAAGCAGTGGCCAAACAAATTTCAAAGGGGTTTTCCAGTCAATCAGATACAGGGCACAAGGATGACCCCAGAATGTATCTGAATGAAGGGATGAATGAAATGGCTACCAACCAAAATGGGGGAGTCTCAGGGAAGAGTGCAGCAGGGAAGCAAGGCTTCAGTTCAGCTTCACATTGGAGGTGCCTGATGCTGTAGGCACAAGAAAGGCTTCAGCTTAGTGGAGGTCCAACCTGGCATACATACCCAAGAGCATGCGGCAGACATTTAAAGCCACATGGAGTGCAGGTAGAGGGTCAAAGGACAAAGCCCTGGGCATGCCAACACATAGATACTTGGAAACAGAAGATCGTACACAAAATGTGCCACTGTAAGACAGCAGAGGATAAGATCCTGATCATATTTCCCCCATTTCCTTCCAGATTTAAAAATCTAGCCACACAGAAATGGAGATTATGCTAAGTGAAATAAGATAGATTAACACAAACATTGCATGTTTTCTCTCATACAGTGAAATCTAGATTTAAATTTAAGTACATGCTTACATACATGTGATTGGGGTCAGGAATGTATAAAATGGACCATGAAAGGGGAGGAAGAGCTCTTGAGAAGGTGAGGGGAGAAGAAAAGGCACTGGAATATGCATCACAGGAAAGTACAGGGAGGACTACTTAGGGTAGGGAAGGAAAGAAACCAGCAAGAAGAGGCAAACATGGGGAGTGAATTTAAAAAAGCAGAATGATATATATCATGAAAATGCCTATATGCTAACCAAAAACTTAGTAAGGACATTAAAGATACAGACAAAGAAATACAAATCATGAGACACAAGTGTAATTGCAGAACTGTTTAAATTGCAAAAGATTAGAAATAATTAATAGGGACTGAAATAACCACAGTTCATTTTCAATAAAATAGAGGACTTTACATGCACTGACCAATGAAGGCTTTGCTAAAAGCAGAGATAAGCCAGTTTCCATTTGAAGCAGACATATATAAAAACATGTTTATGCATTTATGGCATTTATGGCATTTATGGATTGTCTCTAAGTGGACTGTAACCTGCTACAAGATCGTCTTCTCAAGGTATCAAAAAAAAAGGTCCATCAATTATGGCACAACTAAAAAGCCAAAGTAAAATGAGGCAAGGGTTACAGGAGGACTGTATGTAATCTCTCTCTCTCTCTCTTTTTAATTTTTCAAGACAGGGTTTCTCTGTGCCACTTTGGAGCCTGTCCTGGAACTTGCTCTTGTAGACCAAGCTGGTTTCAAACTCACAGAGAACCACTTACCTCTGCCTCCTGAGTGTTGGGATTAAAGGCGGATGCCACCACTACCCTGCCTCTGTATGTACATTTTATATATTATTTCATGGGTGGAGCATGAAATGAGACACAACAAAATGCTTCTGGAGTAGATTGCATGGGAGTTTTGGTTGCTCTTTTGCAGTCTGGTTCTCCTAAGTATTTTTTATAACAAACATGTATTGCTTTTGTTATTGAGAGAACACAATAAATGATGTTTTGGGGAGAAATCCAAAACTATACTTTTTTCCTTCTGGTTTTTAAACTACCAGAAATCAAGATAGCTAAATCTAAACTGACATGGTGACATATCTATAATCCCAGCAACAAGGAGATGGAGGCAGAGGGACCATCCCAACTTCAAGGCTAGCCTGGATTACATAACAAGACCTTGTCTCAAAAATAAAAGAAATTATGTGTGGAAAAAGAAAATGCCTAGGGAGATTCTTTAATCTAGTAATAAAGATATTTGTCAAATAAATATAAAATGGGTAGAAATACTGTTTTATTGGAGAAACTTTCAGTTTTTAAGAACAGGCATCCAAGAAGAAAGCACACACAGGTTCAAAGGAACAAGACAAACGGGCTGCAATCACCACAAGGACACCGCCTTAAAAAGTGTCACCTACCTCCTGATGAAAGTAAGTACACTGGGTGTCATAAATAAGACTTTTCTTACTTTATAAGAAGGAAGAACCAAGATCCTGTTTTGAGGCGTATTAAATACAAAATATAAAATACTCTTTGACCCAGATGAAGGGGGAGGAAATCCTCCTACACCTCAAGTCTCATGCAATAAAATCCAGAGGTCTGTTGAATCCGCCTTTTCGATTCATGTACTGCCTATGATAAAAAGAGAAATACAGTTTTTAAAAATTTGGGACTGTTATTTTAAAAATATAAAAACATACTTCAAGAATTCAAACTAACAATACCTTCTAAAATGTTTCACCTGAGTGTGATGCTGTGTGCCTATCATCACCAGTACTGCAAGGGTGGAGGTATAAGAATTACAAGTTCAACTCCAGCCTGGGATACATAGAGACCTTCTTCTAAGAGCAGGGCTGAGGGACAGTTTAATGGGTAAGAGCGTTTGACTTCCAAGCATGAGAAATGAAAAAACCTAGGCATGGCTGTGTGTGCCAGCAGTGGGAGGGCAGAGGAGCTCACCCACCAGTCTAGCCAGAACTACAAGCTTTTCTGGTTCAGAGACCTTGCTTCAAGGCAATAACGGCGGAGCTACTTGCTTACATGTACACAAGAAGGAAATTTAATACATCAGAACCCAAACAACAAAGACAGTATATTTTGCAGGAGCCAGTCTTGGTGGCACAAGTTTGTAATCCCAACACTGGAGTGGTGGAGGCCCAAGCATGCACACACGCGCACACGCACACACACATGCGCAAACAATTTGGAAAACTTCAGTATTTGCTAAAAGCACATTTAACCTTTAACAAAATTTTCTTTCAAATATGAACTAATTTGGACTCAAGTATAAACACGGCACAGGAACCATGCATACCTGTACTTCCTCTTCTGAGACACATTTATGGCATAGGCATTTACAGAGCCATCCACCTTCTTCCCCTGCAGAGAAACAGAAAGCCCGTATTAAATACATGGATCACAGAGGAGGAATCCTGCAGGACATTTTGAGAGGCAAGAGCCATTCAAGTGAAAGGCCCAATGAAGAACAGATAACCCTAGAAGACATCCCATGAACTCTCAAGTGTTACAACTCTGCTCATATCTAAGTATCAATACAGCATTCAAAAAACAAAACATACGGGGCTGGAAATGTACTTAGTGGTAGGGCACCTGCCTAGCATGCACAATCCTTAGCACCACAAAACAAACAAAAGCAGTAAGCATTCAGTTTTCATGTGATGTACAAGGCAGGTTGGAAAACAGAAGCAGATTCTAATTTCCTTCAAAGAATCTTTTGAGGGGCTGGAGAGACAACAAAGTGGTTAAAAACACTGGCTGTTCTTCAAAGGACCCAGGTTCAATTCCCACCACCCACATGGCAGCTACAATTGTCTGTAACTCTAGTTTTAGGGGATCCAATGCACATAAACATTAAAACGGAAACAAACAAACAAACAAACAAACAAACAAAAAAGAATCTTTTGAAACGAGATAAAAGTTCCCATATTCACATTCTTGGCTCATAATATTCTCAAATCAAGTTGGAATAATTTTTTAAATGTTTAATTCTCATTTCTTGCTCAGAAGATGGGCTCTTTGACATTTACATCAGGAACTGGAACTTGGAGCAGGTACATGCTGAACTGGTGGTGTTGGCTTTTCCAAATGTGCATTTCCCTTGTTACTATGGTCCAGATTCCATGCAGCCCATTCCTACTTGCTCCCATGCTGCTCCTCATGTCTGAATCCCCTTCCCTGGCCTTATCCAGCCTTCAGCTATCTGAGAGCTGTCCACTGGTCAAGCCTAATTCAAATGACCCAGCTGCTGACAGTACCACTATCTATTCTAATTCCTGAATAGTAACAATATCAGCTGTGCCTTCCCTGAAGCACCATGTATGTAACCCCTTGATACTGTGCTCCTTCTCCTTAAACCATATGATGCTGCTTTTTGCTTGTCTGTTAGTTTTAAGATGGACTCCAGCTGCCCAGGCCAGCCTCAATATGTAAATGAGGATGACCTGAACTTTCTGACTTCTCTATTCAAGTGCTAGGATTATAGGCATGTGTTACCACATCTGGCTGGAGGCTGCAGCTTCTTGATGGAGGTTGTACTCTCAGGGCCTAGGCTACTATACTTTCAGAAGTCTAGAAAAAAACGACAGCTTGATGAAAGTCACTGAGCACTGAAAAAAACAAACAAACAAAAAACACACTGGCACAATCTCAACCCTCTTCCATTAGGAATGTGGCTTATCTATGTGGAACATCACTGCTCAGTGCATTAGGGTAAAACCAAGGATCCTACCACAGAAAGTGTGTACAGGTGAGCCCACATTAGAAATGGAGTTAAGACAAATATTTTCCATCAATTTTCTTTCCTCCTTTTTGTGTGTGGTATAATGTGCCAATGTATGTTCATGTAGGTATATATGAAAATATGTGTGTGTGCATTCATGTAGAGGCTAGCAGTCTATGTTAGGTGTCTTCTTGAAGTGCTCTCCACCTTTAAAAATTTTTTTTGTTTTGTTTTGTTTTCAGACAGGGTTTCTTTGTATTGCTTTGGAGCCTGTCCTGGAACTCACTCTGTAGACCAGGCTGATCTCTAACTCACAGAGATCCACCTGCCTCTGCCTCCATAGTGCTGGGATTAATGGCATGTGCCATCACACCTGACCTTTAAATTTTTTACATTTCCCTTTATTGTGCATGTTGTTCACAAGCACACATACCACTGAGCCATCTCACCAGTCCTTCACCTTACTTGAGACAGGATCTCTGACAGGAACTCATGAATTCAGCTAGAGTGGCTGGCCAGTTCCAGGCACCAACCTATCCATTTGTGTTTGTTTCCATCCCAATTGTGGGGGGACATATGTGCTCCGCTGAAACTGGCCTTTTTGTAGGTTCTGGGGATCCAAACTCAAGTCCTTATATTTCCACAGTTTGCACTTTGTCAACTGAGCCATCCCCCAAGCCCCAATTTGGACTTAATTTTCTACTGAAATTTAAATTTCCAGAGAGGAGCAGTGATACTGAACCAACTAGTGAGGGTGTTATCACTTGAGCTCCCAGGAACAGGAGGTAGACAGGACCTGGAAAGATTAGCTTGCAAAGGAGCATTATGCTGACTTTTTCACTGAGTTCTATTTCCAGAGGCTTACTCATTTTTTGGAAGCTTTTGGAGAGCTGCATATTACTAACTATAGTCTCATATATTACATGTTGGAAGAAAAATTATCCATTAGTAACAATAAGGAAACAATGAATGCTTAATAAAAAGGAAAATGAATGAGCCAAGAGACTTAAACTGATAGACATGAAGCCAACTGCACATAAACTAAATTAATACCTATGTGGGGTCATTAGAAAATAACCATGTATGGCTGGGCTGTGGCTCAGAGGTGTATAAATGACCTATCATGCATTGAGCAAAACCAGACCAGAGAAGAACCCTGACCCCAGCTGCTCTCATATTATGCTACAGTGCACTTTGTGGCATCTAACTTAATGCCTCCTTTATGAGCAAACCTCTTCTGACTGTAGTAAGCCAGTGTCTTGAGACCTTTAAAACTCTCAGGAATTACAAATATGAACTAGGAAATAACAAGACCAAAAACCAAGCTCCTTTGTTACTATTCTAAGAACAATAAAACCGTAATTACTTCATTCTGTAAATACTGTTATTTGTTAGATGCACATTAATAATGATTTGTAATCATTACAAAATACTATGAATAAAAGGAGGACTTTAGCTGGGTGTGGTACTGCATACCTGGAATTCTAGCACTTGGGAGGTTGAAGCACGAGGATCATGCCTGTCTCAATCAGCAATGCTAACACAGATAAGAGAATTTGGGATATTCAAAGACAAAAAGCTGAGATGTTAATAGTGTTAAATTCCAAAATGGGGTTTACAAAACCACTGCAAGAACAAGTGTGTAGACAGGAAAATGTTCCAAGATATAGTTACAGGAGAGAAGTCCAAAAAGGACTTTAGCAGCACAGGAAATAATTCAAAACACTGGCAGTTGGGGATAGAAATTAGAAAGTACTATGGTGAAGGAAATATCAGCAGACGAAGAGAAAGCTTACAGAGTGGAGAAACATGAATCAATACAGCTACACATGAAGCACAGTATTTACATCAACAGTATACACACGACTGCAACAGTTAAACATCAAACACGAAAGAAAAAACCTTGTCAATCAATAAATGAGCTAATGAACTAAAGACAATTCCCAAGAGAAAAAACACAAATGACCAATAGACATTTATCTTTAATTACCAAGGAAATGTAAATTAAAACTACTTCATCTTACCCTAGTCAGAATAACTATTATCAAAAAAACAAATGACGGGCTGGGGAGGTGGCTCAGCATTTACTCTCTTCCAGAGGATCCAGGTTTGGTTCCCAGCACCAACATGGCAGACACAAAAAGTCTGTGCTCCAGGTCCAGCAGATCTGACATGAACTTTTAGCATTTTCAGACACTAGGTATGCATGGAGTGCAAGTATACACCCATAGTCAAGACATTCATTCAAACAAAACAACACTAAACAAATCGATTAAAAAAAATCAATACTGACAAGAATATGGGCAAAAGGAACCCTTCCTCACTGCTAGTGGGAGTACAAACTGGTAGGTAATATGCAAGTCTGTATGGAGGCTTCTCAAACAACTAAAAACAATGCCATTCCCGGGCAATGAATTCTAAGTTCCTCCCATCACAGAGATACTAATGCATCTATGTCTGGGCTACACGATTCATAGTAGCCAGGAAACAGAACCAGCCCAGAGATCTACCAACAGATGAATCAATAAAGACACATAAATTGGGAATAGTGGTGCCTGTCTATAAATCTCACCACTTGGGATGTAGAGGCAAGAAAGTCAGAAGTTCAAGGTCTCCTCAATTACATAACAAGTTTGATGCCAGCCTGGGTAAGTGATATCTTTCCCCCTCAAAAGTGACTGTGAACTAAAATCCTTGCTTCTTAACCCCAGCACTCAGGTAACTAAGGCAGGAAGATTTGGAGGATTTCAAGTTTAAGGCCAGCCTGCGCTACATAGTGAAACCCTGCTGAAAAAGAGTAAAAATCCCTTGCTCTAAGACATCTACAGGTTCTAATCCCTTAATGTGGCATAGGAAAGGGAATAGAAACCCTGATTTTGCCCCAGAGCCTCCCAATGGCCCCAGGCAGTCACTGCACTGCATTGCTCTTAGTGAAGTTTCCTCTGCATACCTCGTATCCTCATACAACAGCATTCTGCTTCAAATCTGCTCCTTGTCTGCCTCACCACTGCCTGCCTTTGAAAATCGACATCCTTTGGGCTGCAGATTCCCTGAATGTAATGTACTTTAGACATCCTCTGTATGTGTTTAACCCCCTCAAAAACTGTCTACAACAAGATAAGGTGTGCCTGTGGAAGTTAGTAGTAACAGTAAAAGACTACAGAACACCAGGACAGGTGCAAGGGACAAATAACCTAGAAAATGTAACCGGTTCCATCTTTTACTTACTTTTGTGGAGTCAAAGGAGGCAAATCCCATTAATTTCATCATTTCTATTTCTTCCTCTGTTTTACCCTCCAAATCTTCTTCTGCAAAAATAAGTTTTTAAAGTCTTATTATATATGTGGATGCACAGAGATGTACACATGTACAAAGGAAAAGAGTATCAACAGATTTGCAGACATCTCACCTCACCAGCAGAGAACAAATAAAGGTAACTCAATCAATAGAAATTTACACAATGAACCCTATAAAAGGTTAGTATTTCAAAATTACACATTTGTTTTTTTGAGACAGGGTTTCTCTATGTCCTGAAACTCACTCTGTAGACCAGGCTGGCTTCAAACTCAAGAGATCCACCTGCCTCTGCCTCTGCCTCCTAAGTGCTGGGATTAAAGGTGTGCCTCACCACTGCTCAGCCAAATTTACACTTTTCAAATGACTGAAACTATGTAAACAATTCTGCTTACTCAGCATCATTACCAGTAATCTGACGTTCTTTGCTCTTTGTTTCTTTAGTTTCTTTCTTCTCCTCATCTCTTCTTTCTTTCACTCGAGAAGGGGAAGGAGATGTGGATCTATGTCGCCTCGGAGACCTGGTATTTATCAAGTAAAGGTATTAGAAACACAGACCAGGTGATTCTGTGGATCTGCAGTTACCCATGAGCCCCTGACAGGTGAAGCCAGACCACAGAGACCAGAGTCCATTCTGCAGAGCAGATGCCTGGGCTCTGATAGTTGAAAGAAAAACAACCAAGGTTAGAAAAGTTTTGGGAGACAGAAAATCTACCTCAAAGTGTCTAAGATGGACTAGACAGATGGATGCATCGGTGGCTAAGAGTGAGTACTTCTTTTGCAGAGGACCCAGGTTTGGTTCCCAGTCATCTGTCACAGCAGTTCCTGGGATTCCACACCTTCTAGTCTCCATGGGCACAAATAGGCATGCATGTAGTGCATGTAGTGCATGTAAAACGCATGCAGGTATGCATACACTCCTATTCACACACACACACACATAAATACATTGTCAATATTTTTAAGAAAGTCTTTAATGGGACTGGTGAGATGGCTTTGGAGGTAAAAGTGTTTGACAACCTGAATAGATTCCAAGGACCCAAGCAGTGGATGGATCAAAGTGACTTCCAAGTTGTTCTCTGTTATCCACATGCCCACCCACACACCCCCTTCAAATGTAATTTAAAAAAAAAAAGAAAGAAAAAGAAAAAAAAATGTTGCTAATAATTTCACATCCTCCTAAACAACCATTTGAAGAGTCCATTTCTACCATCCTGCTAAGGCCACTTGTTCTTAACATTTCTTACTCTACCAAGCACCATGCTAAGTGTTCCCATTCATTATTCCTCACTGCTCTTCAAGACAATTCTCTTGGGCTGAAGAGACAGCTCAGTGGTTAAGAACCCTAGCTGCTCTTCCAGGGGAAGACAGATGGCTTCTAGCACCTACCCTATCGTTCACAATTGTCTGGAACTTGTTTCAGGGGATTTGAGCAAACACATACTTAGGACATAAAAGTAAGATAAACATCTTTTAAAGACTAGTCTCTTATGCAGTATAATTAAACCATTTGCCAAGAGTAACGTTAGCTTTAGAACAATGTGTGATTAAACTCTGCTATTTTATAAAACCAGAAGTCCTTTTATAAGTTATAAAAGCAAAGTTAAGGGCATCTTCCTGGTTCTTTGTTCTCTGCAGCTTTATAGTGAAGCTTCTGGTTTGCTCTCTACACTCACCTGGAGCGTCTTCGGTGTGGGGATCTTGAGCGGCTCCTTCTGCGATCCCTCTCCCGGGACCTGGACCTTTCTCGGCGCCTTCTTTCTCGATCCCGGGATGTGGATCGGGACCGCCTACGCTCTAATATAAACATCAAAACAGTAGAGTTATCTCAAACACCTAGAGTTGTTCTATTGAAGTATAATGCAAGCTACTTCTAACAGTCACAATCAAGACAAACAAAGAAGTCAGCCAGGCATGGTGGCCCAGTATTCAGAAGGAAGAGGCAGGCAAATCTCTGTGAGTTTAAGGCCAATGTGTGTATTCCAGAGTAGCCACAGTTATATAACAGAGAAACTCTGTCATGAAAAACAAACCAACATACAAAAGTAATTCCTGGGCACATTAAAACACACCTGTAACACCAGGACTGGGGAAGTGGAGGCAGAAAGATCATAGTTCAAGACCAACCTCTGCTACATAAAGCCCTGTGTGGGAAAAGAAAGGATAGGGGTGTTGCTCAGGAACAGAGCACTTGCCTTGCACGTGAAAGGCACTGGGTTACACACAGTAAAAAGGGACCAAAAATCATAACATATTTTGACCCAATATATTCAAACTATAAACACTTCAACACATAATTTCACTTAATTTACTTTAAAGTCAGGCAAGGTGGAATATTTAAAATCACCCCATATTTCTACTGTTTATACAATAGCTTAATATTCAATTATATTATCTGATGAATATTTTTAACACAACAGTTTGTGTCTTGAAAATACGGTTGTGTATGAGGGTATATTTCCCCCCTCCCCCACCACACTTGTTCAATTTTACCATTTCTTGTACTAAGTAGTATATTGGTCAAAGTAAAGGATAATGCTACAAAATAGTTATTTCCCCTCAAAGGAAATCCACTGCAAATTGTAAATTACAGTTTGCTTGAGGTCCTGGTTGTTTAGTTAAAAAAAAAAAAAAAAAATCGAGATTCACCAGTTGAAGAAGAGCTTTGTTCTAAACATCTATAGACTCCAATTCTAAACCCTTAACATAGGTAAGGGCACGGAAACCCTGAGTTTCTACAGCTCCACCTTACTGTACCCACCGGGGCTGGGGTACAGAAGACAATATGTTACTGCGGTATCAAATTATAAACACTTCCAACTAATGACACTAACATTTGGTAAGCATTTGTTGGCCAGGGCAATCACATGCTGAATGTTACGAAAGGTGATGTTAATTCTCATATCAACGCCACGATGGCCTGGCGTTGGTGGCACACGCCTTTAATCCCAGCAACTCGGGAGGCAGAGGCAGGAGGATCTATGTGAGTTCGAGGCCAGCCTGATCTACAGAGCAAGTGCCAGGACAGGCTCCAAAGCTACACAGAGAAACCCTGGCTGGAAAAACGGGAACTGAATTAAAAAGAAAGGTGGGTTGAATTAAGCATGGTCACCCAGAAGCTAAGGAACTGTGGAATTCTAATTTGAGGGCAGGGCTGAGCACCGCAGACCCCGGCCTCGCCCTGTCCCGCACTCTTTCGGTCTCTCTGGGCTGAGGACGCAGATTGCGCCTATCATCGTCCGGGAGCCACAAGAACTTCTGGACTCACCCCTCCGCGGGGAACGGCTACGGCTACGACCCATCAGAGTTCCACTCCTCCGACCGCCCCGGAAACAACTTACAACTTCCGGAGCAGCCGGAAGTTGCTTCTGCGCACCGTCTGGAAACCTACCAGAGTGTGCTGCGAGGGTTCCGACTGCTCAAGCAAGTCGATGCCACCCAGTCCTGCCCCGGATGCAACTCCCCGGCCTGAAGTTCCAGGAGAAACTGACAGTCGCTTACGTTTCTTCAAGTTCTTTTTTTTGTTTTGTTTTGTCTTGTTTTTTTGTCGCAATTTCCCCTTTTGTCTTCATGGAGGACTCACCTTAGCTGAGTATCCCTCCACCCAGCGCAAGTTCCCTCCCAGCGTTTCTCTATATGTGTAAAAGAATCACACCAATTCTATATTGTGTTTTTTGAGACAGGTTCCACTGTGTCACCCTCGTTGCCTGCTAAACTTGCCATGTTTAAAACTTGCCATGTTTAGCAGGCTGCCCTCAAACCGAGATACACCTGTCTTTGAAAACAGCATGAGCAATCCATTTATCCATTTCTTTTATTATCCATTTCTTTCTTTCTTTTATTTTTATTTGTAACCCTCATAAGAAACGAATACACAAAGGTCGTAAGTCGGCTTTATGTTTTCTCAGATGACAACATTGAAATTGTGTCCTAAACTACTATGGCAATTTTAGGAAGTTTTATTGTTTATTGATTTATTTTTATATGTATCTGGGTGTCCCCAGAGGCTAGAAGAGGGCCTGTGCATCCCTTGGAGCTGGTTGTTAAGAGACAGTAGGTGCCAAGGAAATGAGCAGCAAGTGCTCTTATGCCCCTGCACTCTGCACTCTTCAGCCCCAGCCATGGTCTTTTAAAAGCAAATGGCTCTAATATTCTGTTCTATTCCCTCAAAGAACCCTCCAGAAACTGCCATAACCTTCTAAACAAAAGGCTTTATGGTGCACAAAAACAGGAAAAAAGTTCCCTTGCTCTCAAAAGATGGGCTGTGTTGCAGTAAAATATGAATGTGCTAAATGGGAAAGGCTTGCAGCCTCTGCTGACAGAACTGGTGCTTTTTGCTAGTCTTGCCAGAGTAAAAAGTTTGGGATAGGCTAGGTTTAGTTTGCAAACACTTGGCCCATTAGTCATAATGTTAAAAAAAGATAATACATGTTTATGTATCTAATATCTGTTCCCAACTAAACTACAATTTCCACCTGATTCCCATATTCTTGAGATTATGGCATAAATGTGTCACGGTATGGAAGAGAGAGTTCAAACGAGTAGGAGTCTCGGTCTTAGAAAAGGAAGACTTAGGGATATTCTTGGATAAACAATACTAACAGTTGAAGTCACAAAGAAGGTAGGGTAATTAGAGGAAGCCAAAGACTCTGTGTGCATTAAAGGTGTAAGAGAAATACAACACAGTGGTTCCAGGTGACCATAGACTTGCACCCACCCCTACCCCAGAGTCCATACAGGACACACAACACCGGATCCTCAGCATAAAGGAGATTTATTGCCTGGGGGAAGGAGGAGGTTGGGGAGGTTGCAAAGTCAGTAGCAGCTAGGAAACAGTGAGTGAGCTTTTAAGGAGAAAAAGGGGAAGTCTGTGCTAGGGCAAGTTGGTAAATCCTGACTGGACATATTAGCCAAATAATGAATTTTGATTGCTGGACCTTGGGACTAGCTTTAGGAACGTACTCTAATTGTGTTTTTAGTTAAGGAGAGGGTAAAGGGCAAAACCTATTGGCACCATATTTGCCATGTTTGGGCCTGCTAGACCCTTCAAAAACACTTCAAAAAATTTCTTCAGGCTCTCAGAAATGTCTGGGAAGTATGACAAAGTTGGTTTAATAAACATTTTTTGGATGCCTGCTAAATGTTAGCCAGTGTGCTACTCCAGCATTAAGGTGAAAAGATTGATAGCATGGTCTATGCTTCAAGAGACTTGCAATCTCAATTATAGAAGTTGATGATGGGCATCTTCATCATGTGGTGGAGAAGATGGTGTTAAGTGTGTTATGAAAAGATAAAAGGCCATCCAGACTAATTTGATATTCCAGGTGGGTTTCCCAGAATAATATGCCCCAGAGTTAGGATTGCCCACTATGCTATGTGTTAGGCACTATTGTGTGAATACAAGTTTTCTCACACATATATACACACATATGTGCATATAGGCATAGTGCCAAGCACCTTTACCTGCTTAGCCATCATCTCACCAGTTGAATAATATACCTTTTGACAATGCTTATTGAGAAAGGAGTTGGTCTTTGTTTGCAACGTTCATAACACGATGATATCCATATGGAAGACACAGAAAAGGCAATGAAATAGTGCTTCCTTTATTATTTGAGGGCTTATTTGCCAAGGAGTAACATGTGATACTCTCCTACCCCTAAGTGCCACCCTATCAATTCAGTGATCTTTCTGTGTACACTTAATCCAGTCGGAGAACCTGATTATATTTTAGCTTGTAGGAAAACCTGCATTCTACTTTGTTAGTATACTATTAAGTACAACGAACACACAGCAAATGCTTTCCATACAAGCACCCTGGAATTAGAAACAAGGGTCTCTGTGAATTCCAGCCAGCCTAGCCTAGTCTACATACCAAAACTGAGGTCAGCCAAAGATACATGGAACACATACGATTCTGTTTCAAACACACACACACACACACACACACACACACACACACACACACACACACACACACACCCCTACCTCATTAAAAAAAAAGGAAAGGAAACAAAGACAAGAAAAATTATGATGATTATCTAAATAGGTATTTGGGGCAGGCATTTGGCTAAATACAAACAGAACCCAAGATCTGAGGAAGAGGTCAGAAATAGAGATAGAGGCAAGGGATTTATGATTCACAGGAGTCCAGGAGATTGTCCTGAGACAGCCCCAAGTGGTGTGTGAACTTACATAGAAGAGGAACAGTCTGCAAGGATGCCAAATTACAGTCATCAAGTATGCAAAACTACTGGAGGACAGTGTATCAGAATCCATGGGGATAGAGCTCTGGGAAGGAGGGCTTAGTCCTTAAACAGACAAGCAAAGAAGCCTGGCCCTCATCTTCAGAGCCTGTGGATGTTGCCTTATTTATGAGGATGTGCAGGTGAGGTGGCTGCCCTCAGTGACCCAGGAGGGTCCTAAGTGCCTTCTTGAAGGTCTACAGAAAGGCAGAGGAAGGGTGATATGGGAAGCAGGTCCTGAGACCCCAGTGGCAGGGGCACTGACAACAGAATGACAGCAACAGAAGCTACAAGAGGCAGGGAGCGGATTCTTCATGGAGAGCTGCAGAGGGAGCAAAGCTCTGCTGACACTCTGGTCTCAGGCATTGAATCAAGTTCAAGACTTCTGGCTTCAGCCGTGGCAAGAACACATTTCTGTTGCTTTAGGCCAATAGTCTGTGGTAATTTAGTACAACAGGGTCAGGAAACCAAACCCATTAGCACAGCAGGGAACCCTATAAAATAACTCAGCAGGATAGGAATTCTAGTGAGCTGCCTGTATTTATCTTTTCCTATCTAAAAATCTCCAAACAAACCCATATCAAAACAAAAATCTGAATAACAGGGCAAAGAAAAAACACAACCATATTAATAAAATATAGAAAAGGTTATTTGACAAAATTTACCAAAAGGTTTGGCAAATCTTGACCCAAACCTTGGCCACTGACCACTAACTCACAACAGCTTAGATTTAAACACAGAATGCAAAGGCATGGTACCTAAGTCTTTCCAGCTGTGGCAAAGTGGCTTATAACAGAAATGTGTTCCTTACAGCTTTGTACCTGTCTGGTGAGGCCTCTGGGTTCTGGCTGCTACCCCAGCAAGTTCTGCTTGCTGTTTGTATGGTCCAGCTCCTTCCCATCCCCACTGGATTGCAGTTTTGGCTCTGCCAGGAAAGCTGATCCAATGTCATCAGCAGCTATGATGTTGAATTGCAGTGTGCTATGCTTTTTCTAACTGGGTATTTCCTGTCTGTCCGCACTTTGTAACTTGGGCTGACTTGGAACTTAGTATGGGGCTCAGGTTGTCTTAGTCTCCTGGGTGTTGGCTGTGAGCTGTGCAGGGGACTCCAGGCATGCAGCGCTTTCAAGAGCTGTCATGTTCCCATAATTAACCCAGAAAACCTACTGCACTTTCTCACCAGTTTTTTTTCCTGTCCTGCCAGCCAGTTCCCAAATAATGACACAGAGACTTATTAATCATACCGCTTCGGCCTATAGCTTAAGCTAGTTCCTAACTAGCTCTTATAACTTAAGTTAACCCATTTATATTAATCTATTTTCTATCATGTGGCACAACCTTTCTTCCATCTTGCACCTCCTGCTTCCTCCATGTCTCCTGTGTTGTCTAGATTCCTCCTCTTCATCCTTTCTCTCCTGGAAATCCTGCCCATACATCTTCACACAGTGTACAGATATCCCACCACAGGGGTTCACTAAGTTAGATTCAGGTAGAATCTTTAGTCTGTTGTCAGTGCCCTATCTGAGCTGAACTGATGTTTGCTCAGCTCTTGTTTGTATTAGTTATTTTTCATTGTTGTTGTTGTGACAAAACATCTAGCAAAAGCAAATTAAAGAAGTAAGGGTTTGTTCTGGCTCACAAATGAGTCCATCACGGCAGGATCTTGGGGTGGCTGGTTACAGGCCACATCTGTCAGGAAGCAGAGATTCTTGTTTTCAGCCTTTCTCCTTTTGGTGTAGTCCAAGATCCTAACTGATAGAATAGCAATGTCTATATCCCACACACCTCACTCACTCTCTCATTCACACACACACACACACACACACACACACACACACACACACACACACACACTCCCTCACAAAGAGATCTGCTCAGATTTGTCTCCATGCTGATTCTAAACACCAACAATGTAACAACCAACACTAACTATTATGTTTAAGCCATGCAATAGACAACTAGCTTTTGAATCATCCCAGAAGGCCTTAGGAGGGGTGATCTGTGTCATCTGATACCTGGCTCCAGGATGATTAAAGCAGGGGACACTGGCCTAGCTTGACAATTTGTTTAAAGGGCTGGAGTGATGGT